TAATGGAAATATGTTTAAATAATCTTTTTATAAAAAGGTTTAGTGGAGAGGGTAAATATACAGTGATCCTGTATTGTGTTTTCTGTCATCTGCCTGTTAAATTCTTGGGGATATAGAACAAGCAAATCTCTCAGAGCCCTTATGGTATAGATCAGTCAATATGAACTCCTTCATCAGATGCTATAGCCAAACCTCACTCTGTGTAACATCAACTTTGGTAGATTCTTCAATAAGTGTATGTATTGGGGTGTATGCATTGGACTGTGTGTGTGTGTTGGAGTATGTATGTGTTGGAGTTTGTGAGTATGTTTGTGTGCTACAGTATGTGTTAGTGTGCATGCTGGAGTGCATGTGTTGGTGTGTGCTATGTGTGTGCTAGAGTATGTGTTAGTGTGTGTGTGTGTGTGTGTTGGAATGTATGTGATGTGTGGTGTATGTATGTATGTGTTAGAGTGTATATGTTGGTGTCTGGTGTGTGTGTTTAACACATAAACGGGAATGATGCAGATAATTACCTTGATAATTTAAGAAATTGCCCTAAAGTTTTGAAAACCTTCAATTTACTTTTAAAACATATTTTCTTATTTTTTATTTTATGTGTATAAGTGTATTGCCCGCATGCGTGTAAGTGCGCCCATGTTATGCAGTGCCTGTGGAGACCAGAAGAGGGCGTTGGATTCCCTGGAACTGGAGTTAAGATGGTTGTTAGCTACCATGTAGAAATCAAACACAGGCCCTCTGCAAGAGTATTCAGTGTTCTTAACTGCTGAACCATCTCTCCAGCCCCACACCTTTGATTTTCTAAACTCACCTTAAGATTAGAGTTACAGAATCTTTTCTTTCCATAAATAGTTTCATTTCCCTTCCTTACACTAATGAATTACAAAATTTATAGGCTATCTTCAGGAAATTTAGAATGTTTCCCCCAAATATAAATGGAGCTTCCATTTCCAAGTACACCAGATTTCCCCAGATTCAGAGTACATTTCTTGTGGTTTTACAGATCTGATGGTATAGGCATTATAGACACAACAGATGCCACTTAAAATCTGTGCTAATGTTTACTCTGTGCTTATTTGTTAACGCAGAAAGTTACAGTGTTGTGGGCTGGTCTTGGAGTCTACCCTGCCCAGCCAGCATGGCTGTGGGACTGATGGACAATACAAACCAGCATCAGTGGGTGCCTCAGATTCCTGGACTGAGCAGCTGACAGTCCAGGGCTGGGGAACAGGGCTAGGGACTAGGGTTAGGGTGCCAGATAGCAAATAGAGGATGTCCCTCATGCAGAGAAGAAAAACACCAGTGCTTTTCTTGATTGCTTAATGAATAGAAATCACCTGTGTGGAGATGGAAGTTTTCCCCCTATGAGGAGCTTTTAAACAGACAAGACCTTGGAGATGATCCAGTTAGTTCTGTCACCTTGGTTTGCAGAGGAGAGCAAAATTTTCATTCAAAGGTAGAGATAGGAAGATGACTTGATCCAGTGGGCCTTAGCAGTGATGCCAGAGTATATGGGCTCCAGGGTTGGGTGGAGGGGCTTTGGGAGGGTGCCTGTGAGGAGGAAAGTATAAAGATTATTAAGATCCTTTGAGATGTTCTGTACTAAATGCACAAAAATTAAATGAAAACAGTTTTTTTAAAAAACAAATGTAGCGATAGGAAATAATGCACATAGTATATATATATATAATTTTTTTTTAAACTTTACGTGTGTGAGTGTATTGCCTGCATGTGGGTAGTTGCACCCATGTCGTGCAGTGCCCACAGAGTTCAGAAGAGGGCATTGGTTCTCCTGGAATTGAAGTTATGGACAGTTTTTAGCTGCCATGTGGGTGCAGGGAACCAAATCAAGTTCTCTGCAAGAGCAGCCAGTGCTCTTAACCGCTGAGCCATTTATCAAGCCCCAGTAAAATGAGGTTTGAGGGACACTTTTCAACAAAAAGAAAAAGAATTGTATTGGTCTGTATCAGTAGGGTTTGTGATTTTAATTCCAAATACACAACACCGTGTGTGTGTGTGTGTGTGTGTGTGTGTGTGTGCCTGTGCCTATGTCTTCATGTGAACTTGTGTCCTAGATTTTGTTGGTATTTGATAAAAAATTCTAGATTACCCATTACTCTATTTAATAGACTGGTATGGAACTAATGAAGTAGAAGATGGGATAATGTTTTTCAAAACTATTTTTAAACAAATGCAAAGGCATTTGGTTAACTTTATTACATGCAATTATTCAATTTTAATGTTATTTCCTTTCATTCAGAATTTCCAAACATTGTACAGTTGAAGATATTGTACTTTATCTGCATAAATATTGACAGCTTATCTTTTCGTACCATTCTTTAGGTTTGAACGGTTAGCAGCAAAGCAGCGAACCTCCACTTGTGTTTAAGAACATGAGCTTGCATCAGAAAGCCTCAGATTTGAATCCACCTCTGCCACTTACTTAAACCTCAGCTGTGTATTCCATAACTAAAATATAGGCATAATAATAAGCCACTCATGATGTTGGAGAACTAAATGAAATAAAATATACAAAACATTCCTCACACTGCAAACTTAATAAACAGTAGGAAAGACATTCTTTAGGGCCATTTCACTGATCTATCTTATTAGAATCAATGATATCACAGTATCACAGTCTTTGTTGTTATTTTAAGCTCTACAGGCACGTTCTACTTTACTGCTATTGTTACAGATTTCTGTTGCCTTCTGTCATGGTTGGAGCCTTTGTTGTTCTATGGATTCTTGTAGAATTGAGAAATTGTGTGTGTGAACATTCAGTATTGTTCTTCACTGAATGCCTAAGGTATGATAATAGGCAAGTATTTAACATTTTTATACTTTGTACTTTGATATTTACTGTGTGGACAAAGATGGATCAGATGAAGTGTATCCATCCAAAAATATATTAACAGGAAGAGTCTACTGGCCGCCTTTGCCAGGCCTCACTTCTCAAGTTCATGGTTTATTTTCAGTCACCAAAGTCCAGAGTCTGGATCTTCATTTGTGCAGATCCAGAAACTTGATCTCAAAAGTTCATCTAGAGTTCACCAAAACTGAGGGACTGACTCACACCAAGCAAATTGACAAGAGAATCATTTACCAGCTAGCTTGCCAATTTTGAATATACAATCTCTATATCCCAGTCACAACAACAGACACCTGCCGTTTTGTTCAGGGAAGATCTAATTATGTATCAGAAAGATGTCTGCAGAGCTTGAGAGAAGAATAAAGATTGTGCTATTCTTGAAAAGCATATCTAATAAGCTGAAATAATTACATACCTCTAGAGGTACTGGTTTTGCTAACTAGTGGATATATATTTAATTGAGAATCATCAGCTCCCTTACTCTCTGCCTAGAACAACTGAACAGTACCTAGGATGAACTGTTCACATTTATTTATTTTAAAGTTATCACCATATTGTTCTTTGAATACAAAAATACGTGTTTTGTAAACTTTTTATTGAACTTTTGTGCATTTCATACAGAACATCTTAATTGTAATCATCTTTATACTCCCTTCCCCATTGCCACCCTCCCATAGCACCTCCCCCACTGGAATTCATACACTCTGTCATTTGTGTTAAGGCCTATTGAGTCAAGTTAGTGTCCCCAGATGTCCCTCAGTGCAAGGTCATCCACGGGAGTCTATTCAGTCAATCTAGTGTCCCTCCATTTAAGAAAGACAATCAGTTCTTCCTCACCCAGCGGTAATCAGCTGCCAATAATTCTTCAACTAAGATAAAAATACCTGAGTCCCACAGGCTCCTGGGACCTTGGTCATATGAACCTGCAGCAGTGGTGTCAGCATGCACGAAATCTGTGCAATCTCAAGCAGACAAAACCCCAGCACAGAACAGTGGGAATGGTAAAATATGTTTTACCGATGTCTCTAACCTAACGGGCATAGGAGGCAGGATTGGAAATACAAAGCATTCAGATGGAACAGTGTCATGTTATTGCAAATACTATTCCACAGTTCAGGGCAGATTTGTTATACGAGAGAGAGGCTTGACAATTGACCATTTTCAAATTTTAGCTGTAATGAAGAGGTTAGGAGTAATTTCTCAGAGAGTATATGCCCAGAAGGAAGAGAGCAACCAGGGAGGAGAGGCAGGAAGCTGCGGAAACCCCAAGAAGGACAGACAGAAAGTCATGTGATCAGGAAGAACTGGAGTTGGAGAAGATGTATCGCAGTTCCCCCAGGCCATGAGCCTCAGAAAAGAACTTTATGGAGGCTGTGATTCTGTGTCACTTGTTATGAAAACAGCCACAGTCTATTGGCTATATAGATGCAACAGCTTGATGTCATTGAGGGCACATTAATTCTATAAAATAGCATTTATTACTAACTGCTAAAGAACTATGTTGGTCAATAGTTTGGTAAAAAATAGAAAACCAGATAAAGAAATTTCTTTTAAAAAAATTAACTGAATTTTTGTGAAATTCATACAAATATTTTAATCATCTTTATACCACCATCCCCTACCGGATTTTATGCATTCTGACATTTATGTTAAGG